CTCTCCCCCCCCCCTCTCTCTCTCTCTCTCTCTCTCTCTCTTCATGCTACTATTCGGTATTATTCTAATCTTTGGCACTTTCATGACCTATTTGCGTTGCAAGTGCCGTAAAACTGTTACTAAAACAAACCAAAAAATCTCGATGTGTGTGTGTGTGTGTGTGTGTGTGTGTGTGTGTGTGTGTGTGTGTGTGTGTGTGTGTGTGTGTGTGTGTGTGTGTGTGTGTGTGTGTGTGTGTTTCTGTCCTTCTTTCTTCCCGTGTGTCTCTTTCTCTGTTGCGAATAACCATGCCGATATTTCACCTCCTTTATAAAAGCCTATGCTGTAAAAACAGATTGTCAGCTTGAAATAACCGAGAAAAATGTATTTGGCCCATGGCGTTCTTTACTTACGTAGTAAAGTACGCTATGATTTGGCCACAACGCCGCAGTCTCTGGTCTTATACGGGGTGCCCATTACGGCTGGATCATGCCGATCGTTCGACTCCGTTACCTGAAACTCTTTTATTTTTTTAAGCGACCAAGTCGGGCGATCGGCCCGATCCACCGATCCCATCTGTAGTGGGCACCCAGTATTAGCAAAAATGATTAATTAAAGCAACACACACGCAGAAGTGAGGCCTCGGCTTATTTATTGTTTTGGTCAATTATTCGTCCATGTTTTAAATTTTCACAGAAGTTCAGTAATAATTACCTCCCCTGTCGGGTGCCTGGCAACGAGCAGTCAATATCGCCGAAAATGGCGACTGCCTGTTGTTTGGATTCAAGTCTTCCATTGCCGCGATAGCTTTGTGAAAAGTTTGTTGGCATATTTCTATATTAGTGCGTTTTATTCCCTTTTTAAAAATAGAATTTGGGTATATCTAATTCAACTAGATCTAGCACTTTCCACACTTTTACTTTCCTTTTATCCGGTCTTTGTTCCTTGCGGCGGTGTCAATAAGCAGGGCCGAGGGCCGAGGGGAGAGAAGAAACGAAACTTGAATCTTCTCATGTTTGCAAACTGTTGTATCGCCTGTTGCATGGTTATGTTGTTCTTGAATAATGTATCTCTGAATATTACCTTTCTACTGCTACTCTTCAGCTCCTTCTCAATGCTGTCTTTCATCCACACCCCTGATCTTATCTTATAGATTTCTACTTCACTTGTCTTATGGCAAGTTATGGTAGGTAAGATCTAACAGTAACACCTAGCCTAGATCAAGCCTTCTCGAATAAGTGTGAAAAATCTTGAAGGTCCCATGTGCAAATTGTGCACGTTAAAGATCCCTTGCTTGTCCTAAAGTCGATATGAATAGGCTTCAGCCGCCACCCGGGCTAAATTAAAAATTTCCTACCAATGGAAAAATGTTTAATGTGTCCCGCACGCTCATATAACCTTATGCAGTTGTGGGTGCCATATAGCACTTACAAATATAAAATAATATAGTAATGTTTCTCTGGCTCCTTCTATCTATATTTTCTTCCAACTACCACATTTCCGTATAATTGTTTTTTGAAAAATAAAGTTGAAACCCCACAGATTTTTTAGAACTACACAGTGCAATGAATGGTTATCCGGAAATGTAGTAGAAGAATCATAGTTAAATTTTCCAGACCCCAATAAAATATTGGTTAGTGCAAAAATACCAGTTTGTGTTCCCGGCAGATTGTGGTAGTCCAGAATGTCATCCGTGCTGAAGAACGCAGCGGCTGCGGCCGTGAGCCGTGGTCAGCCCAGCTCCTATTACACCAAGGACAACCGACCGAACCCAGTGCTGCAGGCCTTGGACCAGGAGCTCAAGCTGTTTGTGGGCTACATGAAGAAACGGTCAGCGCCGGGGTACTCCAAGCCAGAGGATGAGTCTTACTCCAGGCCGTATGTTTACTCTCTCTCTCTGTCTCTCTGTCTGTCTCTCTCTCTGTCTCTCTTTCTCTCTCTCTCTCTCTCTCTCTCTCTCTCTCTCTCTCTCTCTCTCTCTCTCACATGTTGGAGGTCTTTACGCTCTTGCCTTTTTCTTTTCTGTCCTTAATTTCTACCTGATTTTTGTTTTTCAACTTACTTATTTGTTGTTATTTCTCTTTGTAGCACATGAAAAAACAAGCAGATCCCAGGTTTACTTTCAAAGACAATGCCCGCTATAGGATGTTGTTATGGTTGGGACAATGGTTCATTTTAATGTGAACTTTAATCGGGGTTGAGCGCTATATAAATGTCATTTATTATTATTATTATTATTATTATTATTATTATTATTATTATTATTATTATTATTAAATTATTATTATTTTTTAAATCATTATTATTATTTTTTTTATTATTATTATTATTATTATTGGTTGCCTGTGTTACATAGTAGTACTATCTGAGTTTCAGCAGCTGAATATTTTTTGTGCACATCCAATAAACAGGTTTGATAGTAATAAAAGAAGATGGATACCTCGCAAAAGCATATATTTGTCTTGTGATGTTTTGTAGTGGCTTGTGAACTCATGACAGGCTGTATTCATGTGTTATTCAGGTGTGGGATTGTATCATACTTCAAACTAGTTCCAGTTGTGGGGGAAATAAAAGTTTGTTGTGTAGGGGATACGGGTTTGAAAGTGAAGTAAAGGAAGTTGATATGCAAGAAAATACAGTCAAATCTGCTCTAACAGCCACCTGTGTAAGACGATCATCCGCATTAACAGGCACCTCCCACGTCTCTTTGCATTTTTTTTTTTGGTCGTTTTTTTAAAAACACATTATATTGACACTGTGTTAGACAACCACTTTCTTCCTCAACAAATCAACAGTGAGTGACCTTTAACAACGTTGCTGGTATTGTTGTCCTCAGGGCAGACACGCTGTTTGAGCTGTGGAACAAGTACGAGCCCAGGCTTCCTCCACTGTACTACCAGGAGAAACTGCTGGAGATTGGAGACTTTCTCGTCTCCATCAAGGTAACGATATATGTATCTGTTACAATCTCTCCATCAAGGTAACGATATATCTGTTACAATCTCTCGTAGATCGGAGATTTTCTCGCCTCCCTCAAGGTAATGATATATCTTTTACAATCTCTTATAAATCCAAGACTTTCTCGTCTGCATTACTGTAACGATACAGCTTTTACAATCTCTTGTAGATCAGAGACTTTCGTTTCTCTATCACAGTAACAGTATATCTTTTACAATCACTCGCAGATCGGAAACTTTCTCCCCTGCATCAATGTAATGATAATATATCTTTTACAATCACTCGTAGATCAGAAACTTTTTTGTCTCCATCAAGGTAACGATTATCTTTTACAATCTCTCGTACTTTCTCTCCTAATTTTTAAATTCTTTTTGCAACTTATTTTCTCTTATGAATCACATTGCCCCAAGCAGGAAATTTCTCCCCCTATTTTATCTTTACTTCTTTCCCTTTGTTAGTTCTGTCGTTCTGTCTTACTCTTTCCATGCACAGAATGGCTTACCATGACAATGTACTTCTCTTTTCTATAACGACAAGAAATCTTCATATTTTTTCTCTCTTTTGTTTCATCGTCATAAAAAAAGGAATGAATCTTTTTATTACTTTCCCTTTTCTTTTGTCTAAAAAAAAAGAATTCACCTTTTTGTTACTTTGTCTTTTCTTCTTTGTGTTCCCCTGCCAGATCTTGGGGCTTGTCGACTGCTGGTTATTTGAGCAAATCTGTTTTTTAATTTTATCCCCTCCCCTCTTTTTTAGTCGTTATTCTAAAACCTCTAATCTTTGGCACTCATATATGACTTCTATGTGTTGCAAGTGCCGTAAAACTCTTACCAAAACCAAACCAAAGCTCCAATGTTTTTTGGTGACTTTCAGGAGTACAGCCTTGGCCTGTGGCAGTGTTACGAGCGCTACCTCCAGACGTTTGGGGAGGTGAACGTGGAAGAAATCTCCGACGTGGACACGTTCAGAACCACCTTCTTCCCCGACGGCTTCCAGGCAGAGAATGCCGGGCTCACAGTCAGTACTTTCACTCCTCGTTGTTCATCGGTCGTGTGGTCACAACCGCTGTCATTTTGAAAGACTTTTATTACGTTTTGTAAAAAGGAAAGAGTGGGTGGTTGGCGGGTGCTCTGGTGTGGTTTGCTCCTTCTTTCCTATAAAAAAATCTATCGTCCCTATCTGCCCTCCTTCTTTTTAATGTATGTTACTTTCTTGTAACACCTCTAATCTTCGGCACTTATGTGACCTTATTGTGTTGCAAGTGCCGTAAAACTCTTACAAGAAGAAGAACAAAAAGGAAAGAAGTATCACATATTTAGCTATTGGTAATTGAACATTTAAGGAATTTGTGGATGCATTTATCTTTTAAAACTGTTATTTCTGACACATTTTTAACTATTGGTTATTGAGAATTTAAGGAATTTGTTGGTGCGTTTGTCTAATAAAACAGTTATTTTTGGCACATTTTAAGCTATTGAATATTGATAGGGTAAGGAATTTGTAGATATGCAAATATTTTTTAAAACAGTTTTTTGTTCAGTAGCCTACTTAGAGCCTTCTAGGAAATATGCACTATATAAATTCCCATTATTATTTGTGGGACGCGCTGACAAAATGAATTACTTCTCGCTGTCCACAAATGGAGATATTGGCCAAATATCGACGCTAGGGTCAATCTAGATTTTCTATTGGTGCATTATTCTTTTATTATATCATACTTATAAATTGAAAAAAACTTTACCTATAACTGTTACGTATCTATTTCCGTAGGTCTCAAATCCGAGAAGTATCTCATTTTGCCTGCCCCATTCACATTTTTATTATTGTTCTAGATGTGGCACTTGACGATGATAATTATTCCCAACACGTTCCACATTATGAGCTATAGTCCCTGATATATGCGTGTGGTCGTCTCCCCCTGTTCCAGTTCCGGGCGCTGATGGGCAAGAGCATCTCCATGTACCAGGTGGTCAAACTGAGCGACCCAAAGCTACAGAACAAGCAGTCCATTGAGAGATGTGTGCAGATACTGGCCTTTCTCAGGCTGGTCACTCAGGTGGTGCTGCCCAAGGAGTCACTCTGTTGGCTCGTCTATAATGGTGAGAGGGGTGGGAGGAAGGAGGGAGAGAGGGAGGAGGGAGAGATGGAGGGAGGGAGAGATGGGGGGGATTGAAGGAGAGAGGAGGGGAGGTAGAGATGTGTGCAGATCCTATCCTTTCTCAGGCTGGTCACTCAAGTTGTACTGCCCAAGGAGTCACTCTGTTGGCTGGTCTATAATGGTGAGAGGGGTGGGAGGAAGGAGGGAGAGAAGAAGGAGAGAGGAGGGGAGGGAGAGAGAAGGGGAGGGGAGGTAAAGATGTGTGCAGATCTTGTCCTTTCTCAGGCTGATCACTCAAGTTGTGCTGCCCAAGGAGTCTCTCTGTTGGCTGGTCTATAATGGTGAGAGGGGTGGGAGAAAGGAGGGAGAGAGGGAGGGGAGGGGAGTGGAGGTGTGTAAAGATCTTGTCCTTTCTCAGGCTGGTCACTCAAGTTGTACTGCCCAAGGAGTCTCTCTGTTGGCTGGTCTATAATGGTGAGAGGGGTGTGAGGAAGGAGGGAGAGAGGGAGGAGGGGAGGAGAGGGGAGGTAGAGATGTGTGCAGATCTTGTCCTTTTTCAGGCTGGTCACTCAAGTTGTACTGCCCAAGGAGTCTCTCCTCTGTTGGCTGGTCTATAATAGTGAGAGGAAGGAGAGTAGGAGGGAGAGAGGGAGGAGGGGGGGGTTGCGTGAGTCTCTGTTTGTGGGGTTGGGGGAGTAGGGTCAGTTCATATGTATGTATGTGTGTATGCGTGCATGTGTGTGTGTGTGTGTTTGTTAATTTGTGTGTTTGTATGTTTGTGTATGAGTGTTTAGGTGTGTGAATATGTGTGTGTTTGCTATGTCCTTTGATCTAATTGTGTTGCAAGCACCGTTAAACTGTTATTAAAACAAAAATGAATTTGTCCTGCTCTCTGTGTTTCCCCAGGCACGGTTCACATCTACAGTATCTCCAGACATCTCATGTCTCTCGGACACTCCTCTAGGGTAAGTCACGTAATGTGTCACTCCATCAATGTGTCAATGAATCAGTGCGTCAGTGTGTCAGTATGTCAGTGTGTCAACAGTTGCCTTGTAAAAGTGTCTATACAGTGTAACACGAATAGGTCAAACACAGAAGACTCGAAATTATGCATCCGTTAAGCTGTGCCTGTGTTCCCGTTTTTTGTCTTCTTTTTCTATGTAAGATATCCCTCGAACTCCTGAGGTGGGTTCCGACGAATTAGTGCTATCCGTGTTATATTGTATTTTTATTTTACTGGCTTGACTAATTTGGACAGCCATGTTCACCATATATTTTGACAATTTTAAAATTCAAAAGCATGTATTTCTCAGAAAAAGTTTTTATATTTAGTGTATAAATTCTACTCTTTTAATGTTCTTTTCGGGGTTATTATTATTGTAGTCTGTGTCAGGCCAAATGTAGGTAGGCCTACTGCAGATTTTGTTCAGCACAAAGCTGTTTAATACAAAGTTCACGTCTAAAATATATTGCTTTTTTTCCCCTTCTTTAGTTTATGCATTGCAAACTATTGTCTCCCCACCCCAGGGATCTGTGGTGCAGCGGTTAGGCACTTTGTTCCTGCATGCAACAGACAGGAGTACGTTTCCAGAGTAGGGAGACCTTTTTATAGAGTAAATAATCTCAATTGTACTGATGGGGACGTCAAAACTCCACATTTAAAAAACTCAGACTTGCGGATAAGATAGAGTTAAGTTGCTCTCCCAACTACTGCAGTCTGTGTTGTAATAGTTCAGCACACAGAAGGCATGAGTTCGGTTCCCTAGCTATTTTATCTTGTTTTTCCGTCCGTCTTCCTCCTAAACAATCTAAACTGTTTCGATATGGATGTTAAAGCACCTACATTAAAAATAAAAACCCAAACAGGTGGGTGGTTAGCTGGTGTGGTTTGCTCCTTCTTTCCTATCAAACACCTATCATCCTGGTGTTTGTTACTCTCTTGTAACACCTCTAATCCCTGGCACTTATATGACCTTATTGTGTTGCAAGTGCCGTAAAACTTACCACCAAAAAAAAAAGTGAAGCGAGCTGACAAAATGAGTTTCTTCTTGGATTCAAGCCATAAGGAAATATATACATCACGCTTATATGTGAAGTTTTTACAATTTATAAGTATGAAATAATAAAAGACAGGTTATAGTTAACGAATATGGCATCAATAGAAAATCCACAAATTTGACCCTAATGTCCATTTTTGGCCCATATCTTCATTTGTGGATTGCGAGAAGTAACTCATTTTGTCAGCATGCTTCACAAATAGAAACCCAATGTTTCTGTCCCTAGGTGCTGGAGTACTTGCTCTGGGCATCCATGTGTATGGAGACTTCGGTCCCTCTGCTGGCCGTCAAGTACCTAGAGTGGCGCAGCACACTCTACACCGCCGTCTGCCAGTGTTACTTCGACTGTAAGGCCAGCGAACAGGCAGAGGTCAGTCGGGGGTCAAACTGGCCCACTAGGGTGGTTAGTGGGTGCTCTGGTGTGAGTGGGTGGTTGTTGGGCGTTCTGGTGTGAGTGGGTGGTTGGTGGGTGATCTGCTGTGGTTTGTTCCTTCTTTCCTATGAGACATCTATCGCCCTTATCTCTCCTCCTTCTTTTCTTTGTATATTACTCTCTAGTAACACTTCTAATCTTCAACACTTATATGATTCAAGCGCTGTAAAACTCTTACTATAAGTAAATCAAATGAAGGGAATAGAATGGATTGTATTGCTTCCATTTTTCTTAGACTTTTGCCAGTAGTTAAACAGGTTGGGTTTTTTTTTAGCCAGTGAAGATATTTTTTTCGTTGTCTTTCAGGGAGTGATGTATTTCTTTTTTCGTGAAAATATGTGAAAATAGAAGGCAATAGAGGCAGTGGTTGACCAAGAATAATTTGTTTAAAGGGCTTGAACAGATGGGGGAGAGGAAAAGATAACAATGTTATAGGTTTTGGAGAAGAAGAAGAAGAAGAAGAAGAAGAAGAAGAAGAAGAAGAAGAAGAAGAAGAAGAAGAAGAAAAACAACAAGAACAAGAACAAGAACAAGAAAAAGAACAAGAAAAAGAACAAGAAAAAAGTGAAGTGTTTATCTGTGACTGTCATCAAAGTACCAGAAGTTTTCCTTCCTCTCCCCAGAAATTTGCCCGTCGCGGCCTGGCCAAGATCAGCGAGCTCAGCCAGCTGGAGATGATGAGTAGCCACAAAGACTGCCCAGCCAATGAGATTGCTTTCAGAACGGCCACCATCAAGGTGAGTTGTGCAGTGGTTTCAACACATTTGAGGTTGTTAGTTTGCTTGTGAATTAGGTCGGCCGACAATCACGGTAGCCCTATAGTTTGTTTTTTCTAGCTTTAAGTTCATTTTTCTGTTCACATACTCTTTATCATAGCGTATAGGATGCAACTTTTTACCTTTCTTCTTTTTTTCTTTCATTCAGTTGTTTCTATCTGTCTGTCGTATTCTTTCCTAGCACTGGATGATGGTTAATGCGTTGATGCGCTGCCCTTTTGCTCTCACTCCTACTTAGACATATCTTTCTCCATGGGTGGTTGGCGGGTGCTCCAGTGGGGTTTGCTCCTTCTTTCCTGTTAAACAGCTGTCGACCGTATCTCTCCTCATCCTTTTCTGTGTATGTTACTCTCCAGTAACGCCTCTAATCTTCCCCACTTATATGACCTATTTGTGTAGCAAGCACTTTAAAGACCCTCACAAGAACTACATCTTTCCTATCAAACATCTATCATCCTTATCTCTCCTTCTTTTCTTTGTATGTTACTCTTTAATAACACTTCAAATTTTCAGCACTTATGCAGTTGCGAGCGCCGTAAAACACCAAAAATAAAAAAGCGCTTATGTAATCTATTTATGTTGCCTGTGCTGAAAAATGTGTCCTAAAAACGACGGACGTTCTCCCCAGATGGCGGTGATGGTGTTCAAACGGTCTGTGTTCGAGACCAGGAGAAAGCCTAAGGGCATCCTGAGGCCTAAGACAAGAGCCAACCTGAGGGATGCCCTTAACGTGAGTACCACACACGCTCAGGGACTGTAGCTGGGATCAGATGAGATGAGATGAGATAGGATAGGATGAGATGAGATAGAATCAGATCAGATGAGATGAGATTAGATGAGATGAGATAAAATCAGATCAGTAAGGTATGATGAGATCAGATAAAATAATGTCAGATAAGATTAGGATTAGATCAGACAAAATAAGATAAATAAGATAAGTCAGATCAGTCTTTACTGCCAGACACTGGCTCTTTGGTTTGGACACACACACACACACACACACACACACACACACACACACACACACACACACACACACACACATAAAACACACACACACGCACACACACACATACACACACAAAACACACACACACACGCACACACACACATACACACACAAAACACACACACACGCACACACACACATACACACACAAAACACACACACACGCACACACACACATACACACACATACACTCACACCCTCAGACAACTGCACACCCTCACATACCTGCACACCCTCACACACCTACACACCCTCACACACCTACGCTTTCGCAATAGAGGCGACAAAGAAAAGAAAGCAAATAACTCTCCCATTTTGCCATCACTACCCTCCCTCCCCTCCTCTCCCTCCTCCCCTCCCCCTCCCATCCTCTCCTCTCCCCCATCCCCTTCCCTCCCCTCCTCTCCCCCCCCTCCCTTCCTGTCTCCCTCCTTCCCATCTCCCCCCACCCCTCCCCCTCCCCCTTTCCTCCTCCCTCTCCCTTTCCCCCCCTCCCCGTCCCCTCCCCTCATCTCCTCCCTCCCCTCTCATGCGCCCTCAGCTTCCCTGGCCTCGCACCCCCACAGAGAAGATGTTGGCGGACATGTTTGACGGCAGCTCCGGTCAGTTCCTGGCCATCCTGGAGTCGCTAAGCAACAGCAACCGCCGCATCCTGCAGACGTCCCCGCCTGCCCCCGACAGCGAGCCAGAGATCCTGGACGTGTTCCTGGAGCTGATGCTGGCGGCTCAGGAGATCCTGGCTGGTGGGGCGGGGAATCGAACCCAGGGCCCCAAGGCTGCCATGGCTATGGGCTCACCCACCCTGACCACCGTTGTGAAGAAAGGCTCGCTCATGACCATGGCTACCAAAGGTGAAGGTCGTCAACAAAAAAGGGTTGTCAAGAGAAAGGGGGTGGGGGGAGGGAGAGGAGAAATTTTTTCCTAGCCTCTTGCGGATTATTCTTTTTAGTTTAAATTAGATTCTTGTGTTAAGAAACAGATTTACTCTTTAGATTGTGGGTCGTTGGCTGGTGCTCTGATTCGGTTTGCCCCTTCTTTCCCATCCAACATCTATCGTCCTTACCTCTCCTCCTTCTTTTCTTCGTTTATATGATCTTTTTGTGTACCAAGCACTGTAAATATCCTTTCTAGGACGTAAACAGAAATGTTGTGACATCTCCCATAACCTCTGACCTATGCCCTCTGACCTGTGCCATCTGCCCAGTAACCTCTGGCCAGTGGCCTGTCCCCTGTGCCCTCTGACCTGTGCCATCTGCCCAGTAACCTCTGGCCAGTGGCCTGTCCCCTGTGCCCTCTGACCTGTGCCATCTGCCCAGTAACCTCTGGCCAGTGGCCTGTCCCCTGTGCCCTCTGACCTGTGCCATCTGCCCAGTAACCTCTGGCCAGTGGCCTGTCCCCTGTGCCCTCTGACCTGTCCCCTGTGCCCTCTGACCTGTGCCCTGTGCCCTCTGACATGTGTTGTGTGTCCTGTTCCCTCTGCCCTCTGACCTGTTTCCTCTTCCCTTTGCCATCTGCCCTGTGCCCTGTGCCCTCTGACCTGTGCCCTCTAACCTGTGTTGTGTGCCCTGTGGTCAGGTGAGGAGACGGTGCCCCTGGAGTCTGTGATCCGACTGGTCAAGCTGGCCTACAACTACGAGCACTGGGACATGGTGGTTACACTTCTGGAGCCTGTCTTGTTGCAGATAAAGGTGTGTGTCAGTGTGTGTGTGTGTGTGCGTGTGTGCGTGTGTGTGTGTTCGTATGTGTCTTGTCTGCCTGCCTGCCGTTAAGCGTTGAGGGGAGATGCAGTTTTCTATGGTAGGCCAGCTCCGCAGCTCGTTCAGTTGTGATATTATGTTTTCTCAGGGTTTCCTTGACACCCTCGATCCACCTTTTGCATGGCCTTCCTCTTCCTTTATCACCTTTAGTGCTTGGTGTTGTAGGCTCTCGAGGCTGGCTGGCCAGGTGACATACGTAACAGGTGGCCAAACCACTTAATGTGGTTGGTTTGCGGGTGGTCTGGAGGGGTTTGCTTCTTCTTTCCTATCAAACATCTATCGTCCTTATCTCCCCTTCTTCTTTTTTATGTTTGTTACTCTTTTGTAATACCTAATCTTCTAGCACCCATATGACCTTTTGCAGTTGTGAGCGCCATAAAACCTCTACTAAAACAAAAAAATCCCATTTTATTCTCTGTCTTTCTATTCTTCTCTTTACTCAAACAAACAAACAAACAAACAAACAAACACCCCACAGGAGAGCGGGGATGAAAAGTTCCGCTGGGACGAGAAGGCGCTGGAACTTCTGCAAGCTGTGGGCAAGATGAACAGCACCCGCAGGAACAGGAAGCAGGCTGCGGCGGTGGAGGAGGAGGAGGTGGAGAAAGCCACTCAGGCAACGCCCGCTGCCAGTGAGTTCTACGTGGTGGTGCTTTTTGTTTTTTAGTCTTTTATATTCTTTGTGCTGTTGTGATTGTTGTTGTTGTTGTTTTTGTTGTTGTTGTTGTTATTGTTGTTGTAGTTGATGTTGTTGCTATTGTTGTTGTTCTTGTTGTTGTTGTTGTTGTTGTCATTGCTACTATTGTTTTTGTCATTGTTGTTGTTGTTGAATGTTTTTTTTTGTGTTGTTCTTCTCCTCCTTTTCTTTCTCCCTTTCCTCCTCGTTTTCTTTTTTTTTCTTCCTTCTTGTTCAGTCAATCTCCAAAGTGTTGAAGAAGGTATAAAACTTATCTAGTAGTTTTATGGCCTGTGGAAGAGAGGAAAATGTTCTGAGTTCCCTGTTTCCCACCTGTACAATGTTTTTCTCTTTGTGTTTTTTGACTTGCTTTTCCTCAACTGTTTTTGCTCATGAAGTGATTGGTGTGGTTTGCTTCTTCTTTCCCCTCAAGCATCTATGGTCTTTATCTCTCCTCCTTCTTTTTTTGTGTTTGTTACTCTCTTTTTGCTTTTTCTTTCCTATCAGACATCTGTCATCTTTATCTCCCCTCCTTCTTTTTTGTGTTTTTTACTCTCTTGTAACACCTCTAATCTTCGGCACTTATATGACCTTATTGTGTTGCAAGTGCCGTAAAACACTTACGGTACCAAAAAAAAAGTCATTGGTATCCAGGTGTCGCCGACCCAGGTATAAAGGGGAGTAAGAAAGGAGGAAAAGATAAAACAGCCGACGCCCAGACTGTCTCGGAAGAGGAACCAGAACCAATCAGTACTCTCCACATTAAGAAACATTTTTGAAATTTGTGAGACGTGCTGACAAAATGAGTTACTTTTCGCCGAAAATCGACACAAAGGTCAAATTTGCACATTTTCTATTAATGCCATATTCCTTAGGGCATAACGTGCCCTTTACTATTACATACTTATACAATGTAAAAACTTCCTCTATAAGCGTGATGTATCTATTTCCATAGGACTTCAATCCGTGAAGTGACCTATTTTGTCAGCACGCTTCACATTTGTTGTGTTTTTATTTCTGTTTTTTCCCCTTTTTGGGATTGTTTGTTTCATTTTCATTTTGGTTTGCGTTCTTGTTTCTATCTGTGTAGCAGATAGGCTCTTTGCCTTCACTTCATAAACAGAAGAGTTAATTCCCGAGCAGGAAGGTTTTTAAAAAAATCGAGTATCTCGGTCATTCTGCGGGGACGTTGTATTCAGTCCAGCACATCGTGACCTCAGTGCTGTCTTGTCTTATCTCCATTTTTAATAACAGTGGAAACAGTTCATGACAAAGAGTGAGCTTAAGAAGAAGTCACATTTTCACTGTTAAAAAAAATGGAGATAGAACAAGAAAGAACCGAGGTCGTGACATGCTGGCTGTCACTGGCATGGTTGAAGCAGCCTGCCTCCTAAATAAATTATGTAAATAAAGAAATAGAGGCGTAAACCTTTCAATGACAAACTTATTTTTTCCATTATAAATTGGTTTTGTTGGGATTTTAGCTAATATTTTCATTCTTTGGTATGCAGTTTGAATTGTAATAGTCATTTGTGTGATTTCTATAACTGACAGAAAATAACGGAGGACGTCAAAACAGAAATGATAATTTCTCTTATTTGATTATTTGATTGTCTTGTCATTTTTCTCTGCTTTTTATAAAGAGAGAAAGAGGGAAGAGAGATCTGGAGAGAGAGAGAGAGAGAGCGTGAGAGAGACATTAATGTCAGCCCAACATTTATTTATCTGTTTCAAGAAGCGAAAGGGCAAGAGACAGAGAGAGAGAGAGAGAGAGAGAGAGAGAGAGAGAGAGAGCGAGAGAGAGAGAGAGAGCGAGAGAGAGAGAGAGAGAGAGAGAGAGAGAGAGAGAGAGAGAGAGAGAGAG